TTTTCCCAAAATTAATCGCTGTCACAAACCTTTAGACAATGACTTCGTAATTCTAGTCGCCCTTCAAACGAAACAAATCAAACAGAAATCAAGAACACTGCAGCCAATAAATCCCAGGGAATCAGATGAAGCAGTATTTCAGAGATTTTCACAGGACGACACTCTCATCCAATCCTTGTCGGAAATAAAAAGCCTCTGAATTAAAGAGGGATTCGTGTACCAGCGCAGAAATTGCACAGACAGCGAAGAATTATCGAAATAAAGTAATTTTAGCTTGAATTCATTACATCGTCGCTAACGAACGCACATTTATGTTCGTAACAAAGTGTGGTATAATAATTATTTAAGGTAAATCTACAGTTGTTAGTGTCATTAATTAAGATAATCGTGGTATGACGTAATGGAAATGAGCTTGACGCTCTGACAGCCTTCCACTAACTGCAAAGTCCGAAGTGCAGATCGGATAGGAGACGGAATGAACCTCAGAGGCAACCCAACATAAAAATAAATTTTCCCTACCGGGAACATTACTTATAGCAGAATTTGTCCCGTCAGATATAATGATGATAACACTAACATGTAACGCATGGCAGTATTAATCAGAGATGTTCAAAAACAGAACATTTCAGCGCCGAAATAAATAATAATAACCTAAAAAAATATAAACGTATAAGGGAATAGAAATGCTTTGAGTTATCTGAAACACCCACAGGATTCATTCAAATGCTGATGTCGCCCTTATATCTGGAAAAATATGTTTTACGACCGAAAATATGTTAACTGCTAAATAAAGCTGCTTTCGGAATACCACTGTCGAGCGAACAGACCTTTGTTTCAATTCTGTGAACACTGTTAATATTTTAATGTTTGTGTCTATCGTGAGAGGTAAACAGCTGATGCTTTGAAGAACATTTCATCAAAATTTCGTCCAAAAGCTCTCTAACGTTAACGCAACAGAATAACCCCAAACAAACACGAGATATTTACGTATTGTCACGGAAATATGTGGGCATATAACTGCTTGTATTCACGATTCCACGAAATGTATTTGTGACAAAACTCTATCTCTGTGTGTCGTCTCCTGTAAATATCGAGCACGTTCAGCAACAAAGTATAAAAGTAAACGTGAGACGCACAAAACACACAGACAGGTCGTAGATACAATGGACTATGATATTTCATTCTACGAATTGCATTTATATGCTTCAAGTGGCATTACGATATTCTCCGGAATCAGACAGAGGCAAATTCATACCTTTATGTCCCGTTAATTTAAACGGGCAGTTCTCCTATCAATATTAAAAATAATTAATCGAGTCTATTATTTTCATCGTGCTGACTCTAAAACCGTAAATAAATAACATACAGAAGAACAAATACATTAAATACATCAAAATTTCTTTTGCTATTAATATATCACTACGTTAAATAATGCATAAATTAAAATAAATAACAGAATACACATTACTGTGTTCACAATTCTCACAGCTGGCCCCCATCTTCAGCCAGTCGAATCGAACCTACGCCCTCCAATCTTACGATCCATTTATTATTGTCCTCTCATTAATAACGAAAACTTTCAATTTTTCTCTTTAATCAGGGGTCTTCAGCCGCGCTACATGCCCCGCCAATCTCATACTCCTTGAAAGATTACCATAAAAATATGCATTTCTCCAGCCCCAGGGCTAGACTCACTTCGGCCCTGAAGATGGAGACAGTATTTCACCCCGAAACGTTGATTACTACCTACGAGTCTGCACGACGTCACAACGTAGGAGAGTAACATCGCCGTTGACCTTGAAACTTGCAATCTGGTGATTACTGGGGAGTAACAGGAGAAAACAGCTAACTGATTTTACTCAACTTGGAAAGTGTTCTACAGCCGAGCGTTGATGAAGCTTCTCGCTTGGGAAGGAACTTTATATACCAGGGATCTTTTATCGAAGGAAGCCTTCCTAAGGAACCTCACTTCACCAATAAAATGAACCCGGTATTTTTTAACTCGGTTCCCTTCAGATGGAAAAACCAATAAGAAGAAAGGAGATGTCACTCCGAATCCGAACAGCACTCACTGAAATGCAGTGAGGAAAATCACGATATGGCAATTCGTACGCTACGCCTCGGTGAATAGAAATTGTATTCATTAATGGACTGAACAGAAATTATGGCATTCCTTACTTCTAATATCATTCATCTTATAAAAGCTCCTACATCCGCTTGGAAATAGGTCCATTTAGAGAAACCTTCTACAGGTATCTTTAATGGGAAATGAAAAAAAAACTTTAATTTTTAAGCTGGCACAACATTTAGCGCACTACAAAATCAAACACTAAAAACAAATTTTAATATTTAATACCAGAATACTTCTTTAAAATTAAATAAAATAAATATTCACTCACCGGACCAGTATGGAAAACGTGGCAAGTGTCCTGAAATGAGAAATAAATTCATTGATTTATCTGATAATATGCTGAAATACTGGAACAATCATTACTGGTATTAGCGCCCCGAATTCATGGCATCCTCTAATAACATAACATAAAACGCGTGGAATATTAATACGAAGCATTAAGATACAACAGAAAATTATGTTCGCTCACAGCTCGAGGACGGATTCGTTTAATAATACTGCATTACCACACAATCCGAGCATGACATGTCGAATAACTTACCAATAATATACAGTGTGTTCATTGATAAAGTTAAAGGCAACTGTCACTTCCTGGCTCCCGGCAGAAACTGCATGACTCACCGCCAAGTGCTACTAGGTCATCCCGATACGAGTCAATTATCTCTCCATAAAATAACAAAATCAATTTAACCTTTATTTATGAGAGTTTCTACCGGGGAACCGGGAAGTGGCATTTGCGTTCAACTTTATCAATAAACATTCTGAAAATAAAATGACATCTGCTGAAATATTGTGAAGTTAAGGGGAGATGCAGTTGGTACAACTGTCATCAGAGTTTTTTATTTAGTGTTCTGTCTGACGACAGGTCCATATGAACAGGATCCTTCCATCCTTTTCTCGGACTGGGACCTGTTCATATACGTTCTTGGCAGATGATCCAGAAGTGGTTTGCCATTGCCTTCTTCTGTGTGTGAATGGAGTAATTGTTGGGATACCACGGAGGAAAACTCCGTGTTGCCTAGACCACGGCCTTGCCCAACACAAGTTATAAATTCGGGCACCGCCGGGAATCGAACACTAGACCCCCAGGATTACAAGGCCAGCGTTCTAACCGCTAGATCACCGTGGCTAACTATCAATAGAATACGTACTGAAAAATAATCGTCATTCAGATAGTCATAAAAGAATTATATTTTTATAAGAGATGCTGAAAATTGTAGCCCTATGACAGTCGATTTCCGGTTAATCGGCGTATCATACAGCAACATTTAAAAAACACAGTTTCAACAACAATACAAAAAAGTGAGTCAATTATCCGGTCACTTGTCGATTATTACCTACTAAACTCACTACGATGGTTCTAAATCACCTAAATTATCTATCCATCGCCAAGAATTGTTGCCACTGAAGTCGGCTTGACTTACTAAATGCACTTCCGGTACGACTCTGGCCAGATGTTTACTCCACGATCTTCAGATGTTTAGACTTTCCACTGAAATGTAAATAAAGTAAAAGGCGGTGAACAAAAATAAAACGGAAAGCGAGACAGTTGGAACACGGCCAGAGACAGAGATTGCAACACGAAAATAAAAAGTCGAACTGAATCACAACAATAAGTCACACGAAGGTTTAAATAAAAATTATCAGTTGTTTATAAACCTTACTGCAAACGTAGTTAGAATCTTCGTCATTGGTTCATGTTATCTTACGTCTGATAATCGCTGATGAAACTAAGATACTAGGACAATGATAAATTTTCCCCCCTGTTATTAAAATTAAGTCAAGAACTTGTACTGAAATCTGAGAACCATCTAATATCTCAGCTTTGATACTTGATTATTTTTAATACAACTTAAACAAAAAACTGGTGATTAACAAATAACAAATTATTTGGTTCTTTTATAAAATCTGTAAATGTAAAATACCAAAGTAGATTCAACTGCAGATGCATATAAAATTAGGAATCT